TTTTTGTTTGTTTTCTTAGGCAGCTACCATCACTGCCAAAAGGAAAATTTGTTACATTCATCTTAACACAGTACCACAACGTAACCCCAATTAGGCTTAATCCGTTAATAGACATCGATAAGATTATACATGTCAGTCTGAGCTGCATGAAACTACTTACTAAGTGTTATAGCAGTCTCAGGTCTGAGCCACCATAAGAAAAAAAGATGTGAAAGATTTTTAAACCTTAACTACTAAAATAGAAACTATACAGAAAAGGGTTACTACAAAATGCCAGGCATTGATAACTTAAGCTATCTAGGCTGAGGGGTTTAGCCTAAACTGACTTATCTGAGCAAAAAAATACAAGATTGTGTTTGATTTGAATGGTATTTCTATATCATGTGAGGATGAGGTTAAACTACTTGGAGTTACAATTGATTTTAAATTAAACTTCAATTTACATATTTCAAATATTTGTAAAAAGGCTGCAAGGCAATTAAATGTTTTGAAAAGAATTGGGAAACACCTAAACAAACTGAGTAAACTTACAATTTATTACTCTTTTATGTTGTCAAACTTTAGTTACTGCCCTTTGACTTGGCATTTCTGTGGGGAACAAAATACCAGAAAAATAGAAAAAAATACAAGAACGAGCGCTTCGCTTTATTTATGAAGACCATCAGAGGTCATACAAAACACTCCTGCATATTTCAAACCTTCCATCACTAAAAACTCGTAGAATGCGCTCAATTGCCTTGGAGACCTTTACAATAGAATCATGTGCAAAACAGTGTAGCCGAGACCATTGATTGGCGCGCTAAAATATCCCATTGACTGGGTCAGATTAGGTGAACGCTCGTCTGTAACGCCCACAACTCACGACGTATTTATTATAGACATTTAAACTGTGGGGTCACCAAAGGGTCTCAACGCCTAAATAAAATCAGGAATAACCTTTGTGTTTTGATTTATATTGAATACTTAAACGTTCTTTACTTGTGTTTTCGTTATGTTTTGATAATCAATTTTTATGATATCGCACGTTCTTTCAGCAAAAAAAGGATTTAACTGGCTTTAAAAGTTACAATGCATGTGTTGATTATTATTTTTTTTTTTCGGACGTCAAAGCGATTTAACAATTGCGGTTGTCCAATTATGTCATCTTTTAACTTTTATCTGGTCAAAATTTTATTTAAGAACGAATGCTTGATCAACTTTAAAAAGTGTGCGTACACAAAACATATAGACAAAATATACTTCTGTCCTGTCTTTTTCGTACTTGCAAGTTATTAGACAATAAAAAGGCTATTTGGATCAAGCCTTGTGGAATTTGCATATACGTTTTTGAATAGGTAAAATGTAAAGTTTGGTGAACTTTTCTGCTAACTACTATACTTGTGAAAAACCCTTGGCAACAGAAACATATTCAGCTTTTTTTTAATCGATCCAATTTACATAGTAATGGACGACTTCGTACTTTTATGATCGCAAATAAAATATGTATATAATATACTGTGCACTGTAGTTCGTATATATACTCAATTTTCTTTTGTTAATGGATTTTTCCGTCTTTCTGGGAGTGATTATTTGTTATTGACTCCTTAAGCTTACTCGCAAATAATTTAAAACCAAGACTTGCATTATAAAAATGTCCAAACAAACCTTGATTTTCCTTTTTTTTTAAACATACGTCTCAGCCATAGATAAGGACTAAATTCGCAAGGTCTTTAATTTCAAGTTAGTGAGTTGACCAAAGTAATATTGCGGACCATTTGCCAGTTTCCATGCGGTATCCGGGTTTTTTTTTCACTCGCTCTGTTCTGCACCCACTCAACTTTCGTGTTTGTCATGACAAAAGTTGTATCAATTGTGACTTTAGATACATTGGTGTATTGATTTTTGTTTGCGTAACGTCTAGTGTCAAATTTGTCATGCATGTTTAGGACTTTTAAATATATTGCAGATAGTTTCGTAATTAAACGGCTTTAGATCTGTTATACGACAATAATACAAAAAAAGATAAAAGGTAGGAAAATTAAGAGACCACAACAACAAAGACCGTCGAGTCCTGTCCATAAATAGTAAAATAGACGTTTAATCAACAATGAACAACACAAAACCCAGATAGCCGGACGTTTGGCTCAAAATTTTGTGGGGCTAATCCAGTTTAACATGCAATCCCTCCCTGGCTAGACTTGGTGCAGGCACACAATCCAGTAGGTTAAATCAGTATAACATGTACCCTCCCCAGCCCGACTTTAGCACAATATGTAGCGGTGTATTGCTGTGTGTTTGTTTAATCTACATTGGCTAGAGGTATAGGGGAAGGGGGAGATCTCACTAAACATGTTTAACCCCGCCGCATTTTTTGCTCCTGTCCCAAGTCAGGAGCCTCTGGCCTTTGTTAGTCTTCATTTTGTATGTTTTTTAATTTTAGTTCATTTATTTGTTTAGTTCAGTGTGACGTCCATTTTTACTGAACTAGTACACATTTTTGTAAAAGGGCCAGCTGAAGTGCGCCTTCGGATGCGGGATTTTCTCGCTGTGTTGAAGACCCATTGGTGGCCTTCGGCTGTTTTGTTTACTCTTTGGTCGGGTTTTTGTCTCTTTGAAACATTCCCCATTTCCATTCTCTATTTTAACATGTAACCTTTCAAATTTTTTTTGTCTGTCTTGACTATATTTGGCAATAAACAATAAAAGAAAAATAAACTACACAGCGCAGCTTCCAACAGGATTACAACAAGAAAATTAATTTTAAAAATACGGTCAAAAGTCAAAATTTGCTCGCAGCGGAAAAATGCAACAGCTTGTTATTCATTTGAAATAAAATAATTGTAATGATTTACACAACGTTACTTTTTCCAAAATAAACATTCAAATTATTTAGTTTTTTGTTGTTTTTGATTAATTTACAACATCTTTACAAAGACCACATTTTGACTTCGATATTAAGTAGACCATAAAAGCGATGTTCATAATCTTTCTTCTGTTGTAAGTTTAACTTAGTTATTTTGTGTCATGAATTGGTATTGATGTCACTCGTATGTTTTTAAATAGAATCTATGATGAAAGGGGTAGTCCTGTTGTCTTATACATCAATGAGACACAAAAAAACCGACAAAAAAAGAAAAAGGGGAAACATTCATTTTTCAACAAAAGAATACATCACAAGAATATAAGTTTTGTAAGAAAAAAGACCAAATTCGTGAGACGTTGTGTAGGACTTAAATAGCTAAGACAAACTGATAAATATATGAATGAATGAATCGATTTATGTAAAAAAAATCAAGGTATTAAACAAAACAAAAATAAAATGATTTTTTAATTATCCGGAACTCTTCACAAACAAAACCTACATGTATGCATTGCATAAATAGTAGGCCACTCTTTTAAAATGATTACAACGTAGAAGTACTTATTCTCGTAATCGATAAGATATTTTGTGAATTAACCCCATCAACTTAAAAGTTTTTTACAATGAATAAACGTATTTTTGGATTATGTAATGATATCAGTTCTGAAAATTATTATTCTTTAAAACGAAACTGTTGTATGTGATGGTATATAAAAATATTTAAAACAAATCTTTTAAAGTTTTGTGAAAAGAAAGTTTCATTTTATGTATCGAAATGTGTAACAAGTGATCATTATTTAAATCCCCACTGGAAGGCCTCTGACAGACTGAGTGAGCGTAAAACCATTGTTATCGATAGCCAATGACAAACAAGTTAAAGGTAAATTGTTCAGTATTATAACCAACACAAGTTTTACGGTTGTCTACGCTGTTATGAAAACGATTCTAATTAATAGAAAATGTCCTTTATTTATTCAAGATCCAGTTGTAATAAAAAACAATTCATATAATTTCAGGTATGTGAACACTGCTGAGGTACCTAGACCTAGAACCTCAAGTTATGGTAAAAGATCCTTTAGATTTGAGGCAGCACAAGTATGGAACTCCCTTCCCAATGAGGCTAGAATCATGACCTCTTTTTACCAGTTTAGGAATTATATAAATTCCTGGTGTGGGGGTCAAAAATGCAACTGCAGTTCATGCCGTTTCCATCCAGTGCTGTCTCAAAGCTGAAATTTCTTTCTTTCTTTTTATAATGGCCTTTTGCTCTGCTTTTTATGCATTTATTAAATATATCTGCTATTAAATGCTAGTGCTTAATAATTTATTTATTTATTGTTTTTTAGTTTGTTATTATTTTATGATATTCAAGTGATTTGCTGATTCCCCCGTTCAGTGCACATAAAGGCGCTTGCCACATGAGCTTTGACTCTGGAGGCTCATAAATCAAAATTAATTTGCTTTCATTAAATTTGCATGCTTTTTCATTTTTATTTATTAGTATTTGCATGATGCTGCATGATTTTTTATGTGATAGTCGGTTAAAGAGCTCACCAGAGCTCATGTTTTGTCTGTTATTATGTATATAAATGCCGACTCAAAATAAAATTTACTTACTTACTTACTTATTTTCACACAGTAGGTTCTGAAGAGTCGGGCGAAGACTGAGAAATTTATGAATTCTTCACATGAGAAAACATCATTAAGTAAATAAGTATATGTATGTCCAGTAGCAAATATTTCGTGCACATTCAGGGCGAAATGTCAAAGGAGAACTAGATCATAAAAACATTTTAACTAAAAAAAAGTCGTATTACACTTGTCAGTAAAATCTGGGACATAATCTATTAGTATAAAAGTCTTAGGAAAATCCACCAAGACATGATATGACAATATGTGATGCTGTCTTCCTTTGCACTTCTATTTATTTAGATCTTTAGATAAAGCTGTCGAATTAATCTTGACCTGAGGTTGTATTCAACATGGATTTAATTCTAAAGAACATTTAGATGCTATTTTCTATCTTTAGAGCCACTATAAATTCCATCGTTATTAAAGTTGTTGTATGTTGTTATTTAAAACATAAAATTTTTTTTCGTTAAATTTTATATGATTTTATGACGAAACAATCTCACGAGAACAGTGAATGGCATCAAAAAAAGGGAAATAACTCTGTTGCTGCCAGGGACGCAAACTTGCCAACCAAAAGAATTTGATTGAGAATGTCATTTCCCGATATTCACAAATGCATGAAGGTTATTTTAGATCTATTGATATAATAAAAGCTTAAAGATAGTAATTTCGAAAAGTGATAGAGATGCAAAAAATCAACCACACGTGACATGAGATGTTGAAAAATAAATGTTGTGTATCTAAGATTTGTCATCAGCACCAATTTCCAAAATATTAGGACAAAAACATTAAGAATGGACATGCCTTAAGAAAAAGCTAAATGCCACCATTGATGTAGTTTTTGGCTTTGGACTGACACATGCACATTTTATAGGGTTATTTGTTTTATTAGCAAAGAACCCGTCCCCTTTTTAAAACTTAATCCTGTTTAGTTAAAAAATTGTTTGAAAAAATGATGATTACAATGCTGTCTGGTAAATCACCCTGTCTAAAGCCTTATTGAAATGATGCTGTTGTAAAATAGTGTTGTAAATAAATGTACCCTGTGCATTATATCTTTGGATCGTGGCTCACTCAGTCACTGCATGCCCAACGGTAGAGCCAGGTCCAATACAATGCCATGAAATTGATTATTGGATGGTAGAACAATGCATTGTGGGATAGCATCATTTCTTGACATGTGTCAGGAAATACTTGTATACACGTAGCCATGAATTTCAAGAAAAAGATGTGTAAGAAAATATCACTTAAATAATTATTGATTAAACCATTTATCAGCATGTTCAGTTTCAACAAAATAATTCAATTTTCAATTCTTGAACAGGTGAGTTTGGGCTGTCGCCTAAAATTACCTTGGACTTGAAGTTTACTTCATATATGTGTGTATTGCATTTCAATATTTTCTAAATTTGTCATAAAAGCTTATTCAGTTGTTTGTTTTGTCATAAAAGCTTATTCTGTTGTTGATAGAACATTTTATTAAAGTTGTAATACACAGGAAATACCTGAAGTAAAAAGAATTTAGACTTTCCTCACACAATGTTTGCGAGTCTGGGAAATGGTTTAATATGATAATAATGCCTTACTGACTTGTTGACTTCATTTATACAAGTTTTGAAAAGTTGATAGAATACAGAAATATTTTTCTTAAAGTATTGCCCTTCATATTTAAGGTACAAAATATGAATATGGACCATTTCTTTATCTTATTGGAGTTATTTATTGTATGTTTACCTGATACATGTATTCATTTTCTGGAATTTCACTGAATGCAATAAAAAAAAAATAGCTTCATTAATTGAGTTTCTTTACAGAAAAAATATGGAACTGAACACTTTCTGACAGATATTTACAATACAAAATGCCTTTAAAAAAGTGAAAGCTTTTTATGTCCTTTTTCTTAAATTCTGCTTCTGTACACTAAAAAAATAGAATGAAAAAATACAGCTTTTGAAATAAAATGATTAATACAGCAATAGTATCTGGTGTTTACTAATAACAAATTGTATTCTTTATACTGTGCACTTAAAAACAAAAAAATCTTGTTGTAGTTATCTTCAGAAAATGAAGACTTGAAAAGAAAATATTTAAAGGTTAAAGAGCAAAGAGATACATACCATAAAGAGCTACAAGAATTCAAACAGAAACAGAAGATTGATAACCTTTTAAGGAGCTATGTCACCACCAGGGAGTAAGTTATCAACATAATATATATATATGCAAAAATGATTTATGGTGGAAATGGATGAAACAACAATATGCAACCGTCATAATTTAGTACTTTTATACAAGAGAGGTGGAAGATACCAAAGGAATATTCAAACTCATAAGTCGAAGACAAACCATGGTAAAAATGAAAAACAACCAAAAGACAAACAACAGTCTACAAAACACAACATAGAAAACTAAAGACTGAGGAACACGAATCCCACAAAAAACCAGGGGTGATCTCAGGACAATACAATCATATGGTGGACGATGATTGAGCTTTCCGACCCTAAAAACATGGAGGGGAAGGGACGAGTTATCATATCCACAAACTGAGATCACAATAAACATTTCCATTTGTTATGGAAATGAAGCTCCATTAATCATTGATTCCTTTTGGAAAGGTAATGGCTCATAAAAAATTAAAAAAAATCCTTTTTGCAAAAAATAGTAAAAAGAAATTTGTGTAAATACACATGTAATTTTGTTTTGCTTATTTTTTGTAGTCTTGCCCATTATCACAATTCTGATTACTGAAGTGGCTGATGTTTTATGAAAAAAAAAAATATAAACCAGTATGGCTATTTTAATCTGAAGTAATTTTTAGGGTTGTTTTTTTTATATCTTTATCTTATAAGCAATTCATTTATTACATGTGTTTGTATTTTCAGTACTAGTTGTCAGACAGAACCTGGAAGATCATGGCAGCCTATATGTTTTCAGAAAAAGAAAAGTGAAGAAGTTAAAGAAAATGATGTTGATAAAACAAACAAGTAATCTTTTGAACAGATGCATTTATTTCATTTTATAACACTGTCATAGGGGATAAATTTATAAAAGCAACTTTCCTTTATTATTTTATATAATTTTAACCTCAATTATGCTGAATTTTTATAAAATCTGCTACAGCAGATTTGTAAGATTCTGACAATTCCACTGTCCTAAGGCTCAAATTAGCTGCCTGGCCATTGTAAAATATTAACACCAGAATGATGTGGGAACATTCTCCTTTAAATCTTTTTTTTTCTAATGGATGACATTAACTGTTATAAACTTGAAAACATTTATTTAGTTTTGAGAATATTGTGTTTTTCAAAGAAAGGAGTATGGCCACGAAGTGCCGATATTGGCCCTGTGAGGTGACAAAAAATAAAAGAGAAATAAGGTGGATCCTTTATATCTAAAACATATCTACGTATATCGTTATTTGTTATTATAGTATAAGATCATATTTTTGTGACATCATTAATGTGACGTAATACCCGTAATCAAACCGGAACGCTCAAAATGTCCAAATTCTTAAAGAATTTCACACTTCCTGGTTAAATTTCGCATTGGCCACAGGCCTTGACCAAAGTAATTTTACTCCTATTTTGATTGTTCGACACTTTGACTCAGTTTACAACAATATTTAGCGTGGTTGAGGCCTGTGGCCACATCGAAATTTTAACTTTTGCTAACAAGTAAATCCTGATTCAACGCCACCATTTCCGAGGTACGATAGATTCTGTGACGAAATAACCGTACCAAGAACTTGTACAATTGCTATAAATAGAAATAAATTCTATAATAATTATTTTTTCTATTTATCAAACAAAAAAGAAGAAAATGGAATAACAAGTCTTTGTTTTTAGCGAAGCTTTGTTAACCGTCAACTCGGCGAGGTTTTTAAACACGGATAGATACGTCCTCATGTCCTCATTATCTCATAACTGGTTTTATTAGAAAACAAGACAAATTAATTGAAATAAAAATTGTGAACTTGCAAATTACTTTAAAAGTTCATTTCCACGTTATTTTGTAATAATTAGCCCGGTCTGTGCTATATCGATATATATATGCAAACAAAAATAGGACAGTTTTAAATTAGAATCGTAGTTTTCCTCCGTAAAATTCTACATCCTGCAGATCGATATGGGTGTCAACATTAAGATTTAATACAAATTTCTTTTTAGATACACGTATTTTGTTTTATAAAAACGAAATCGTCGAAATGTAACCTCCGTGGAATGTAATCTCATGTTGACACTTTGATGAAGTGCTTTCTTTCACGTCCGCATTTTCTATCAAGTGTTGCATGCCGAGTAAACATTTTAAATAATTACTACTGATAGTGTAAATAAATTACAGAACTATGAACAATAACATACATTGAAAATCGTAGGACATAAGAAGAAACAACGTGAGAATTTTGATATATTGCACAGTGGTTAAATAAGTTTTTCAATATTTATTTGATGAAGATAAAAATTACGACGCCATGAGAGGGCATGGTGTATACTGTCCGTGACATTCAACCAGAACAAATATTTGTTTGCAATGAAAACTGAAATAAAGATGAAACAAAACTATCCGACACAATGACATAGCTTGGGTAACTTCATATAAATATCTGATATTCATGCGAGATAGCGTACATAATTGGTCAGAATGCATACAAGGAGTAATTGTTTATTTGGTTCCTTTTAAATTTGGGTGAGACTATGCTACACACGACCAATAAAAATGGCTGCTTACTATGAATAAATTATATATAATATATCTTTATATTTCTGATTTTTTCGGTTTTTATGGTGGCCTGAGGTTCGTGTTCAATCTGTAGGTACCTGTTTTTATATTTTGTTATTGCTGTTTTTCTTTTTGTCTCCTTTATATGTTCATGGTGTTGTATGATTTTATTGGTCTTATTCTTTATGCTCCCCCCTCCCCCTTTGGAGACTATTCTCTTATTTTCAATTACAACACATGCAATTTCTTGTTTCCTGTTTGAACTTAGTTCTCCAAATGCTCTCCGTCATAAATCTGCATGAAGTATTTGCCTAACAACTATCAATCATATCTCCTCTAAAGTTACAGTACAATAATGACTTTAAACATAATTATAATTAAATGATAAAAGATTTTAAAATCTTTTGAACAGATATTTACGCGTCTATCATTTAACTTTTTGTGGAAAAAAGAAAAAAAAAGGTCATTTGAAAATCCAAGAAACACACCATTATACTTCATGAGTTGTTTGTCTCATGATGATGGATGACTGTTTAACGTCCAGCGGCAAGTTAGATGCATATTCCGGACGAGAACATGTTAATTTGCGGACATTGCCTCTATACTCTGGTATCTAGGGTATACAACACATAATCTGGACATCACACATGGAGTCCAGAATTGAGGAGCTTCTCTTGAAGATGCAGCATTTATCCCACATGCCATAGACAAAAGTGACATTGAGCAGAGTGTAGTTGAAGAATAGAATATTAATTTTATCATTGTTAGGTTACTGTCACATTGACTTTTATCTCAGTATTCCTCTTGCTCATCTTTTTGAAACCTATTTGTTTATATTGTACTTTTTTGCAACTAAGCAAACTTTCTGAAAACTCTTAAAACATTTTTACAGGTTAATATAACATATCCATGAGATGTAGTTCACAATTCATTTCACTTTAAAGAAAACAAACATATAGACGAAATAATTGATTTTGTATATTAATTATAGTTATAGATAATACATTACTTGAATGGACGCAGCTTAATACATACACTTATATCGTTACAAGCAACGCAAAAAAAAAACTGATATTCATGGATTCTATTAGGTTTTAAATGAATTAGTGCACGTCATTCGGTATCTGGTTGAAAGTTGTCTTCTTTGCAATAATATCACAATCTGTTTAATTTGACCAAATTATAAAAAAAATAATAACAAAGTACACTCGAACGTTTTTCGAGATAAGAATGATAGTTGTTTGTGGAATACCGGAACACTTTAACCAAGAGCAAGACTAGCTAAGATTACAAGATAAAAACTAATCAAGAATAAATTGACAATTGTGAAAACCTTAATAAAGAATTTCAGTTTAAAACTTAAAGGGGCATTAGCTGTCAAATTCTTGTTCACCGATTTGACTCAAATTCTCATATTCGACTTATAACATACTAAAACGTATATCCAAATTAAAAAAAGTATAAAATAAACAATTTACGATGCATAGACTCGATAGTATGTATCAGCATTTCGTGTGTATTTTAGTCTAGACTCCATCTAATTATTCACTAGGCGGCCTTCCGAAATCTGCCGACGGTCATATAACCCGATATAAACATAAACATAGATATAAATAAAAGCGAACTCGTGCAATTGTATTTTTCTAGGTCTGTTTGATTTCATATTATAGGTTAAATCAACATGTTAATAATCGTTTTTGTCGGTATAATAATGAGTTTTTGTAGATCTAATCAGTCAACCAAACGGTTTACCCTTGTTTCACTTCCAACGTGACATTCTTTTTCTTTTAATAGCTGAACACGCCTAGTTCATGCGTAACCCATCTCTAGCTAAGGTGTTCAATTGAATCTCACATGAATACGGATTTAATGAGGGCGAATTGTCCACTTCCAAGTGAATAATTCATTAGAGATGTTTCTTTGCTTATTTTGACAAAACTGAACCAAACTGGCTGCTAAAAGCAAATTATATTTCACTATTTCACTTTTATTAATGATTGAACAAAACAAAATCTTTTTTTTTTCTATATCTCGTAGCTAATGCCCCTTTAACGAGAACACGAATCATAGAATAATAAAAGTATTTGTTCTTTTAAAACGTAATTGATAGAAACATGCAAAAGACGGATAGATTTAATTGAATATAGCTAAATCGCTTAATGAAATCGTCCACAATGGACAACTGAGAATGAGTATTCTGTCAATTTTTTTTAGTTTTTTAAACTAGGCAGTGGCTATTTTGCAGACACCGGCAAAATAGAAAAAAATAGTATGCTATTTTGTCTTCTTTGATTAAATATCTAAATTATAACAAGCATTCTGAGAGTATTGCATGGCAATACATAGTCCCCTACTGGGTAAAAATTCATTATACTGGAACAAAATGCTAACTTGTTCTATAACTTATCATGGGGTAAACAAAAAGAAAATATCAAGTCAATATCTTCAAGCATGACTAAAAACAGTGTGGAAAACTGAATATATGAGTGAATGTTTTCAAGTCCAAGGACCATAACTCTGCACAAAATTATCAGACCGAAACAAAAATTTGAACTTGATCTGTAACTTGTCATGATAAAATTATATACAAATAGTCAATCAATATCTTCAAGCATGATGAAAAAAAGTGTGGAAAACCTATAACACTCTAAAATTAGATATGATGTAATACAATGTATATCTATTTTCAAATTACAATCAAATATAATTAATAGTTCCAAATATTTTTTCTTTCATTTGTCACATACTAATATAGATTTGTAACTTATCAATAAAATGTTAACAACTTTTATCTACACAATGTAATGTAATGAAATATATACTTTAATAAAAATAGATTATTATCTTATTAAAGAATTTCACTTAATAAAAAATATATATATACATATACATGTAGCATTCAGAAAATTAGTTTATACAAAATAACATAAACCTGCCACAAAATTCCTCAAACAATTTACCAAAGAATGTCTTTTAAAAAATGAGTTATCTCTCTTTGTACAGATATATGGTTTAACATAGTACTCTAACATTAGTTATGGAGTTTTTTTATGGACCATAACTCTGGACTAAATCATCAGACCGGAACAAAATTCGAACTTTATCTATAACTTATCATGATAAAACTATATACTAAATATCAAATCAATATCTTCAAGAACGAAGAAAAAAAGTGTGAAAAACTGAGTTGCAGGACTGACGGATGGACAGACGGACAGACGGACAGAGTGCAAACCTAAAGTCCCCTTCGACTTCGTCGGTAGGGGACTAACAAGCAAAATAGCATATTTCGATAGCAATGGCTATTTTGCCGGCGCGCTAGAAAATAAACTTTTCTGTTTTAAAGAGAATCACGGGTTATCTTTCCATATACTAATACAAATAAGATGATGTGGTGTGATCAACTATCCTCATACATTTTTTACGACTGTAAACCGCTCGCCAAGATATTTTACAGCTTTCAATCTAAATTCCTTCTGCCCAATAGCAGACATTCATTGCTTATGTTTTAAAATCCTTTATGACTTTTAATTTAATCTATGCTATAGAATTATGTTTGTTTACATGGTCTCTGCAATTTCTATTTCGTGAATATCAATGCAGAAAACGAGTATTCGGGCCACTTATACAAAATTTAATTGAAACGCTTATGTGCAGCTTAAACCTTAATATAAGTAAGTTTCTGTTAATAGAGTTAAAAAAAAACAAGATATATGGACGAGATTCAAGAAATATTTTGTAAAAAAATTCTTGTGGTAAAATCATTATAAAGTTACTAGAACGTTAATGAAAACAATTTAACGTTACGCGCAAATGGCTAAAATACCATTGTACCTAGGTCTTTTCTGATGCCCTGGAAAATTATACAAACATAGTTACAAGTCTAATGGTTATCATTTATGAACTACACTAGTTAGTGATCCTTCTGCAGTAATTTCGTCAATTTCTGAGACAGGGCCGTTTTTAACCCTTCGTGGCCCTACTCCTTTATAAATATTTCATGTAGATTTTTTCTTGCCATTTAACTTTGATTGCCATTAAGAAAACTCTTCATAAAGACTAAATGTGAAAATATGTATTTGAATGTTGATGATGTAGATGCTATAAACAATTTTAGGCTATTATTAGACAATAATGCAACAGGAACTTGATTCTTTAAAGGTCAAACAATAATGTGTAGTGTAAAATGAACTTAAACAAATATTTTGGTATTTAATGAAGAGGATTTTCTTTTTTCTTTTCAGACTGTTATCTATGCATAATCAGATGATGAGGAGATATGAGAAAGAAGTCAAATTAAATATGTCACACATGGAAACTATTACAGATCTAAATGTAAAATTCTTAGTGGCTGGCTATGCTCAATAATAATGTCTAAGATCTATCATTACAATTTACCCCGCCCCAAAAAGTGAGGGGTATATAGCAATACTTATGTAAATAAGTGTTTTTCTTTCACAACTTTTTTCTTATTTTTTAATAACTCATCTTCCATGAGGCCTTCATTATACATATATATATATATATATATATATAGAAGTCTATAAAAAGGACCAACCAGCAAATTTACTATGTACCGGATCGTCTAGAATAGACGATACTGTGCAGATAAGGAAAAAAATTATATAAGTCTAGAGATTTGCACAACGATACTAATATAAGATGGTATTATACGAAGATGTTGTTAATAAATCGTGTTGACAAATATTTCGGCTTAACAAATAGCCTTCTTCGGTGTCAATTATTTTGACACCGAAGAAGGCTATTTGTTAAGCCGAAATATTTGTCAACACGATTTATTTACAACATCTTCGTATAATACCATCTTATATTAGTATCGTTGTGCAAATCTCTAGACTTATATATATATATATATATATATATATATATAAAAGTACGTCTGAACCAGTGACAACTCTACGACAGATTTTATTCATCGGATCACCAGTGATGGTGATACAAGGCTGAAAACACATTTTGTATACATAATTCGTCTAAATAACAGCCCAACAATGTTAGATCTGTAAATTTGCGGAAGCAAATTTTTTGTTCTTCCCTGGCCAGGATTCGAACTCAAACTCATATATGTATATATACTGTAAATTCAGAATTTTTGCGAAGTTTTTATTACATGTAATGTTTTTGTAATGGTAAAAGTTTTTGCATTTTTAAGTATTGTGTGTGGGGGTCCATTCCGTAGAACTGATCCAGAATAAACAAAAGATTTCTTAAACTTCTTAGTTTTTGGTTTTGGAACTATCAGACTACCTTGAGATAAATCTCTCAAAGAATATGGATTATTTTCTAGTAATAGTTTAAACTTTGAGCTAAGAACATAGGTTTGTCATTCCTAATTCATATGGCTGTTAATTCTTTCAATATTTGATTCTGTTTTTCTATCAACAACCAAAATATTTTCAATAAGGTAGTAGATAGGAGAAATTATCTACATCTAAAATTAACCATTCTGCTTTAATTGTGATTTACAGATACAAATAAGTGAATTAGAAAGAAAGCTAATTGACGAGAGTGAGAAACATAAAAAGACACAGAAAGAACTTTCAGATCTTCATGTTGGTAAACATAAGAAAATTGCACAGAAGAAAGAAGGTAGGAAATAACTTAAGGGATAAAACCACTAATTCATGGACCAATTGCTCTCTATGTTAAATTTTATATTTCCAGCATTCATAGCCATTTTGTCTTAAGTTTAAACCAATTGACTATTTTCCTGCTGGAGGTATGTGGTTCTCTCTAGGCAATCTAATTTTTCTGATAAAAGCTGGCTGCCATGATATATATCCAAGAGTGCTGAAAGAGGTGTTAGATACAAACAATCAATCAATGAAATGACACAAAAACACATCAAATACTGAAGTACGTCATAATATTTCAGTTGCAAGGGAGAGGGGGTGATAGGTGGTGTGTTATTATTTTGTGCTTTAATGATATTTAAAGGGGCATTAGCTCTCAAATTCATGTTCACTGATTTGAATCAAATTCGCGTATTCGACTTATAACATACTAAAACGTATATCCAAATTAAAAAAAGTCTAAAATAAACAATTTACAATGCATAAACTCGATAGCATGTATCCTCATGTTGTGTGTATTTTAGTCTAGACGCCATGATAATTAACAATCAAGGTGACCTTCCGAAGACTGCAGATGGTCATATAACCCGATATAAACATAAACATGTATATAAATAGATAGCGAACTCATGCAATTTGATTTTTCTAGGTCTGTTTGATTTCATCTTATAGGTTAAAACAATATGTTAATAATCGTTTTTACCTGTACAAGAATGAGTTTTTGTAGGTCGAATCAGTCAACCAAATGGTTTACCCTTGTTTCACTTCAAATGTTGACATTCTTTTTCTTATAATAGCTGAACACCCCTAGTTCATGCGTAATCCATCTCTTAGCTAAGGGGTTCAATTGAAGTTCACATGCATACAGATTTAATGAGGTCAAATTATTCACTTGCAAGTGAATAATTCATTAGCGATGTTTCTTTGCTTATTTTGACAAAACTGAACCAAACTAGCTGCTAAAAGCAAATTATTATTTCACGATTTCACTTTCATTAATGATTGAACAAAAAAAAATTTTTTTAATTTTTTTCTATATCTTGTAGCTAATACCCCTTTAAGTCTTTTAACCTTAATTTTTTTTCAGATACAGAAGATAAATTTTTAAATATTAAGAAAGAATGTGTAAAGGTAAAAAAAGAAAATGAAAAGCTGAAGAAAGAATTGAAAGGTTTAGATTTGGTAAGTGAGGTTTGTTCCATGAATTTAGGACTTTTTTTATTTATTCAAATTTAAAAAAAAAACTAAAGCAGACAAAAATTAATTTGGGCCTGGAGGTTGCATAAATATCCTTTTATCTTACTGTCTAAAAGAGTTATTTTGGTTTGTGTAAAATTTTGCTGTTTGAAAAGTTAACAATATATTAAAAACAAAGTTTGTTAGAATTTAGGGAACCATGATTTGTTCATATAGATTTATTCTTGCAGATTATTTCAACAATAGAAAGGTGGAAAGAACACATTAACCTTTGATACAAAGCCAATAAGAATATTTTTTGTTTATCTATATTACACTAAGGACAAGTTGTTAGTAAACAACCAATATGGAACCAGAAAGTTAACTGGTTGTGTATGTGGATACTCCTGATCAATTTTGATCCTTTATACTTGAAAATTACAAGCCTTTTTTCAAAGAATAAAAAGCGAAAATGAAATATAGGTCCTTTGTTATATAATAAACGGTGGTAGAATCAGAAAATTTGATTTGAATGATCCACATTTGAGTCTGGATCATCTACTGTTTAATATAGACAATGCATTAACACATATAATAGTATACTTTACTTTTACAGGGTTTCTTTGAAGAAATAGAAGATATCAAATTTGCATTACAACAGTCAGCAAAACTAAACAAAGAATATGAACAGACATTAAGAAAAATGTGTGTAAAGTTTGGAATTCCTTATCCTCATCCTGAGAAGAACATTTTAGATGACCGATCTAAATGGAAATGACCTACTGGCATTTGATAAATTAATGGCATTTTAAACTGTGATATATTTATTTTTACTAGATTTTACAATGATAAGTTTGTAAAGAGCTGAAGTTGTGTTGTGGTTATCATGAATTTAATTAATTAGACTCATATAAGTAGTGTTCTCTTATATTACCAGATTTTATTGACGTTAGATTCTCTTCAGAAGTTTTGCAGGTGATTCAGAAAGAGAGAATTTGTATTTTATAGATAAATGATAGTTTATTGTTGAAGTGTTGTCAATATAGTAAGGATTTGAAAAACAATGCAAACAACCGAATAAGGAAAAATAAAAATAGCAGATGCAAATTTATTGAATCTTGCTTTATTTAGAAAAATCTTTTTGCAAGTTTTTCTGATGTAGAAAAATACCAAAATAAATTGTGTTTAGAAATGTGTGCTTGAACTGTGAACAATTTGTTGGATTTTTTGGTTCAACTATAAATATGGAATATCTCATATCATCAGAGCATGCTATCTCAATCATACTTCTTCAAAAATGATTAGCCACATTTTATTCAAACCTTAAAATTTACCATATTTGACCTCCAGATGCCTTTAAATTTTCTTATATAGTTAGGTTGTTGTCTCATTGACATGTTAAGCACATCCTTTCTTTCATGAAAAGAAGAATGCATGTAAAGTTTTTTTTTACATTGTTGCCTAGAAATTCTCTGAAAAAAAAATTTGCAATTGGGTTCCCTGTTTTTCAAGAGTTCAAGGAAGAGAGAGAGAAATATAAGCTAATCATTTCCAAAGTTTTATTATTTTGTTTGCTCAAAATTGTAAAAAGGGTCATGTGTTTTCAAACATACAAATGATGATACAAACTGACATGACTAAAAACAAATATAATATCAGAAGGTTGTGTTATGGAGAATCAATTTTTTTGTGGAGATTTGCTGTAATGATAAAAGATTTTAACATATTCTAATGCACATATATGAGGGTCTGGATGGGGAGGTCTTTATTAATGTATATTATAATTTTAATGATTTTTTTCTGTGTTTAAATTTGTTTTGGGGCCAATTATTTTCTTATCTTTATTTGTTAGCAGCCCTTATTCTCTATTCCTTATTTTTGCCCATTTTCTTTGCCATTTTTCTTTTTTCTCTTAACGCCCATCTAGAGCCTTATATATATGTAGCCTGTTTAGAAACAAACATTGGATTTTGGTTTCTTTGTTTGCAGAATTAATGAACAGATTATCCATTGTCCAAACAAGTGTACTGGGTTAGTTGGAATCCCTGCTCTATTCCTTATTTTTATAGCCCAGCCACTTAGTGGTTGGGACCATATAGTTTTACACTTGTCCGTCATTCAGTCATTCCGCAAAGAGCAAATATATGGACTTTTTTTTCTAAATGACTTCACATATTGAGCTAATGTTTAGTATGTGAGTCTACTATGATGAGTTACAGATCGAGTTTATGTTTGGTTCTGCTTTGCTGATTTTTGCCGAAATTACAGGCTTTGGACTTTTAAAATTTAGTGAAAATAACAGTTATATGGATTTTTTTTCTAAACACCTTTACATATTGAGCTGATTTTTAATATGTGAGTCTACTATGATGGGTAACAGATCGATTTACATTTCGTTGTGCTCTGTTGATTTTTGCCAAAATTACAGTTTAGGTTTTGTTCCTTAACCTTTCATTATCAAATTTCCACTCCTAAAAATGACAAGCTTTTTTTGCGAGCTGGGTCATTCAACACATTTAGTTTAATTTTGTTCCAAACGTGTTTACTGTTACAACAGGATAAGTGCATACATAGAAAATATGAAAATATAACAATTAAAAAAAAATCTTTACAATAGATTTATACAATCTGGGTTAACTATGCAGAAATTTAACCAGAATACCAAAGGTGTCTCAGAGATAGATATGTCAGGTAAAGTAGGTGTTACAGCAAAGTTCAAAAGTGCAAAAACTAGATATATTATCCAAGCAATTTACTAGTGGACTAAGATTGTCGTTTTCATCGTAACTGAAAGAACTGACTGTGTCAAAATGAATTCATGAGCACAATAAATGACCAATCCAGGCAAAAATGAACAGCAAACAAGAAAGATGTATACAATCAGTGAAGTATTATTTTGAGCAATACAAATTCTCATCATACTTTGTATTGATGATTAGTTTACCAAATCCTGCTTTGCATGTGAACACCATTGTATTGCTCACTGGACAAAACCAATTATCAGTTTTCTTTGAAAAGAACAAATCAGTAAAAAGGACATAAAACACTTCGAGAAATATGTCTACAAGAATCTGTATCACACATGATAATGATTGAGTATGTGATGATGACTGTTGAACAATATAGTTGGTAAAAACTCGTGTAAGATACCAGGTTTCTAATTTTGTACGCCAGACGCACGTTTTGTCTTCATTAAACTCATCAGTGATGCTCGAATCAAAACAGTAGAAAGGCCAAATCAAATACGAAGTTTAAGATCATTAAAAACTCGAAAATTCCAAATAGTTGTGCCAAATACGGTTAAGGCAATTTATACATTGTAAGAATGATGTAAGTTGTGCTGAAAAACGTAACTTCTCAGTTAAATGTGTCCCTTAAAAAGTCCCTTTAAGCAGACAATATCTTGAGAAGCTAGCTAACTGTGATATGAAAACACCATATATATGTTGTTACTGAAGAAAAAGAAATTTACGATTTGGAAATTGGTGAAAAGGTTTTGATTGAAGTGGCCATAGATTTGTGTGAGGCAATTTTTAAATGAAACACACCTTGTTCTTTATTTCTAGCTCATTGGGATAGATAAGATGTGACTTATCACACCTTGTTCTTTATTTCTAGATCATAGGGATATATAAGATGTGACTTATCACACCTTGTTCTTTATTTCTAGCTCATTGGGATAGATAAGATGTGACTTATCCTTAAACAGAAAGCGCATTGTCAATATAGCTGAAGCTTTAGTTAATGGTATAGGATAACATAATGCTACTTTAACTCAAATGAATTTTGCTTCTTACAAATGCAGATCTTTATTCACAATTAATGCCAATTGGAATGTCATCCTCTGTTGCAGAATTTGAACAAAATTCAAGGAAGACTGTTTAAGAAAGACAACAACGTCAACTATTTGTATAAAGCTGTATTTCAAAGGATAGAGGACCTGATTGATTCATACCTTGTATACAGACGCGTTTTGTTACGAAGTATACGTAATGTCATATGTTCATTGTCCTTGACCACATTTTCATGGTCCAGCGACTGCTTATAAAAACAAAACAAATTATGAGTATTTTGTCATGTGAATTTCTCACTTATTTTGAGTAATAAGATAACTATATTTGGTATATGGGATTTTTGCATAGTCTACCTGACAAAGTAATAGTTTCCGTGGTCATTTCTGTATCTAAAATACTATAAGCAGTAGGTCACATACATTGGGTGTATTGAATGGTAGTAAGTTGAACATGTCTGTCTGACCGGTTACATCTTACATTGACCCTATTTTCATGGTTCATTGGTCAATGTTAAGTTTTAGTCCGTTTCTCAGATACAATAAGCAGTAGGTCAACATTAATTGGTGTATCGAATGATTGTTAGGTGTACAAGGCCGGCATGGCTTGTTGAACCTCTACCACATTTTCATGGTTTATTAGTCAATGTTATATTTTCATGGTTTAGTTCGTTTTTCATATACTTCACGGAAATAAACTCATCATAGATACCAGGCTTAAAGTTTTGTACAGCAGATGCGCGTTTCATCTACAAAAGACTCATCAGTGACTTAAAAAAGTTATAAATAAAGACTAAATGAAGTACGAAGCTGAAGAGCATTTAGGACCCAAAATTCCGAAAGGTTTTGCCAAACATAGCTAAGGTAATCTATTCCTGGGATAGAAAATCCTTCGCATTTCACAAAATTCAAATTTTTCTGAACAGTTGATTTATAATAATGACCACATCAATGGTAATTCATCGCAACACAGAAGTGCTGACTACTGGACAGCTGATACTTCGGGGATGAAGCCTTTACCAGCAGTGGTATTGGGTTATCTATATGTGGTGTATGGAATGATCACAAGGTGTGCATGTCTGTCTGGCAGAGTGTATCTGACCTTGCTGACCATGACATCTTTTTCATGTTTCATAAGTTAATATTAAGGTTTTCTGGTTAAGTCTGTTTCTGAGATACTATAAGCAATAACTATATTTGGTGTATGGAATGCTTTTAGGGAGTAAATGTCCGTCTGACAGAGTTCATCTGACTTGCCCCATTTACATTGATCATTGATAATCATTAAATTATGTAAATATAAAAATAAGGAGATGTGGTATGATTGCCAATGAGACAACTATCCACCAAAGTTCAAATGAAGTTGAAGATCATTAAAAAATTGTATAACCTTTTTCTCAAGACTTTGATCATCAATTCTGATCAGTAAAAGATGCGAGACATTTCACCGTGTGCACTTTTGTCTAAATGTTGTATTGTTTCTGTATTTGATGGTGAGATTGTTATGAAATTTATGACAGTATAAATTATGTTTAATTTCTTAGTCAGATGTTATTTATGATATGTTGATAATATCCGTAGTTATTCTGTTCAATATAAAGATGTAGCGATATCGACGTCTAGCAAAAACATCTAAAATCGGTATTACACGCCGTGCTGAACTTGAAGAAGGATGAGAGGTTTTGCTCCATGTAAAAGGCCTCATAATGACTTTCCTTTTTGGTTATTATTATGCGCACATAGTGATTTTGTGTCATAAATTGAAACACCAAATCCTTTCTATTCCGTTCTATACATTTTTGCATCATTCTCGATTAATCATGATATTTTGAAGATTTGAGATCGTTTTATTTTATCATGAGAGAGTAAAGGTAGAATAATAAATACATGTGTATTATATTTGTCGTTAAGTCTCAATGTCATATACACATTTCCCCTTTTTACTATTTTCAAACGTAGTTTTTTTAGCATCCATTATATTACAGAAACAACAACCTGCACAATTAAATTTCATTTTTCAAGCGGTTCATCTATTTTAACGTTTTTGATTCGAGCGTCACTGATGAGGGTTACATCCTGGTTTGCCAACTTTTAATTACCCCAATTATAAAATGGTTATATAATAAAAAAAGACAAAAGGTTTACTGATTGGAAAATTGTATAGTCTGCTCCAGATAAATTGCTATTTTATATGTACATATATCTCTGTAAAATTCTATAGGATAAGTTT